CTAAATCTAGACAATTCTAGCTTGGGTATAGCTTCCAATTCATTACTATGTGCCCCTTTCTATGAATATAAAGGAATCTGTAGTCTCCAGTTGGATCAGCTTTGCATTCCTCCTTCATAAATGGGGCTATATTTAGGGAGACAGACCACAGGTGCAAAGAATATGGAAAATTTTAATAGCATTGAGACTTTAAATAAAAAACAACTACGTACCTTACAACAACATGGATAAACCTTAAAAACATCGTGCTAAATAGAAGATGCCAGACACAAAGGATCATTTATGTGATGTGTCCAGAATAGAAAATCCTTACAGACAGAAAGAAGATTAGTGGTTGTCAGGGGCTGGAAGGAGGGAATGGGGAGTGACCATTTAATAGGTTCAGAGTTTGTTTTGGGTGAGGGGGATGAAAATTTTCTAAACTGAGAGAGTGGTAATGGTTGCACAACTCTGTGAATATACTAAAAACCACTGAAATGCACACTTTAAAAGGGTATGTGTGTGTGTGGTTGTTCCCCCACTCCGCCCGCCCTTGTTGCCCAGGCTGGAGTGCAACAGTGCGATCTCAGCTCACTGCAGCCTCTGCTTCCCGGGTTCAAGTGATTTTCCTGCCTCAGTCTCTTGAGTAACTGGGAACACAGGCACCCACCACCACGCAAGGCTAATTTTTGTATATTTAGTAGAGACAAGGTTTTGCCATGTTGGCTAGGCTGGTCTCGAACTCCTGACCTCAAGTAATCCACCCACCTCGGTCTCCTAAAGTGCTGGGATTACAGGTGTGAGCCACCGCGCCTGGCCAAAATGGTGTGTTTTATGGTATGTGAATTATAACTCAATAAAGCTGTTATTAAAAAACATTATGTTGACTTCAGGTAACTCCGGCTCCAAGTACATCACACTACTCATGATTTTGAATAATATACTAAAGACTTGGCCTCAGAGACCTTTATTCAGTCTAGAACGCCCTAGGCCTCTTGCCCTTCCCTTCTCTCCTCTTCCTCTGCCAAAATCCAACTTTTATTTTTAAAAATAGTCTATTCATCCTTTAAAACTAAGTGAAATATTTGTTCTCTTCCTGTGAAGCTTTTGACATCCCTATTCCCCTAGGCAGAAGTAACTGCTCTCTCAGCACTTAATATACAAATGACTAAAACATTTTTTATTGCATTAGAGCTCACTATTTACATGTCAGTTTCTCACACTAGACTATGAGCCCATGAGGGTCAGCGTCTCATTAAGTTCTGTATTCAGTTACTAGCACAATGCTTAGTATCAGATTTTCAAAAGATGTTCAGTACATTTTTTAAACACATATTTTATAAACAAGATATATAATGGTAATGTCACATAATTATCTAGTTGAATCGTTTGCAATTCCAATGTTGATTGATGGAAACGGTTAACCCAAAATGAGAATTAATTTAGCATTTTGATTGTGTTGCTAAAATAAATAAGTGGAGGCCTTTCTAACTAGAATGCAGAATTCTGTGTTTTTATTAGTGACCACCTGTAAACGCATTGGGAATCAAGTATGTAAATCAAAACACTTTTACACAGATATATGTAAAGGTATATTTACATATATATAATATATATTTATATATTTTGCTTACACACATATTTTTCCAAGTAATATAAAATGATGTAGTTATAACAATTTTTGTTGCTATGAGGTCCTCTACTACGTACTGTATTTCAAACCTTATCTTAAAACACAGTCCTATTCAGAGTTAAGAAAAATGATCATTTTTGAAGACAGGGGTTATAAACTCAAATACCTATTAAGGGTCACCTACTAAAGGGCATATCTAAATAAAGAATATAACCTAAAGAATATCTCTGGGCAAGAAAGTAACAACAGTGTTTGTCTCCAGGAAAGAACTGAGGAGCTAAGGGGACAGTTATAGAAGGAAGATTCCCTTTTTCACATAATTTTTTTTTTTTTTTCCTGAGATGGAGTCTCACTCTGTTGCCCAGGCTGGAATTCAATGACGTGATTTCAGCTCACTGCAACATCTGCCTCCCAGGTTCAAGCAATTCTCTTGCCTCATCCCTGAGGAGCTGGGACCACAGGCGCATGCTGCCATGCCGGGCTAGTTTTTTGTATTTTTAGTAGAGATGGGGTTTCACTGTGTTGCCCAGGCTGGTCTCAAACTCCTGAGCTCAGGCACTCTGCCCACCTTGGCCTCCCAAAGTGCTAGGATTAGAGACATGAGCCACTGTGTCCAGCCCAGAATATTTTGCAATACCTTTAAATTTTATATCAAGTGTGTGATCTATAAAGTTTCTTCTTGGCTCTAGCTAACCATCACTATTAAGAGATGCATGTCTGGAGTTCCCAGATCTGATTTTCCAAAGTTGGAAATGGGAAATTCAGACCCTCTTGTGATTTTTCTTTTTTTTTTTTTTTTTTTTGAGACGGAGTCTTGCTCTGTCACCCAGGCTGGAGTGCAGTGGTGCAATCTTGGCTCACTGCAACCTTTGCTTCCCGGGTTCAAGTCATTCTCCCACCTCAGCCTCCCGAGTAACTGGGATTACAGGCATGTGCCACCATGCCCAGCTAATTTTTGCATTTTTAGTAGAGACGGGGTTTCACCATGTTGGCCAGGCTGGTCTTGAACTCCTGACCTCAGGTGATCTGCCCGCCTCAGCCTCCCAAAGTGCTAGGATTATAGCTGTGAGCCACCACGCCTAGCCTAAAACTTGTGATTTTTAAATGATGGCTTTATTCAAAATTTAACATATAGGGCAGGCCAAAAAATACATACCTGCAAGCCATATCTGGCTCATAGGCCAACCAGTTTACCATCTCTAATCTAAAATTTGATGTGACATATGACTCCAAAGCTAAAGATATAATTTAGCAGAGGAAAATTCAAAAAGAAAACTCAGGCTCATGGATGAAACCACGCTCCCTTCGGCTCCACCATCTATTTAGTCACTATTGCTTTTAAACTTTCTCTAAGTCTTTGAAAAAGCCATTAAGGTTTGACAAACTAAAATGTAAGATAAATCAGGTTAAATCTAGAAACCTGCCCACTATTCTAGCATCTGCTCTGTTTTAGAGGGAAAAAGTGGGTCAATTTCAAGTTGAAATTGTTCTAGCTAACTAAACAAATATGTAAATTACTTCTAGCTGGGTGGCACAACTCCCTTAGCCATCTCATCAAATGACTGCATGTTTGCAAACATCTATGTTACCTCTTCCATACCATCAGGCAGTACAGCACTGCTTAAAAGATAATAAGGCAGACAATAAACACAATGTTCTGAACCCTGCCTGGGAACCCAATTACAATTCAGGGGAAAAATACCTTAAAGTCTCTCAAAGAGCGGCAGAGATGCCATTCATCTCCTGAAACTTGAAATAGACTCTCTGTGGCTCTAACTATTGGCCATAAGTGGAAGACTGCATCTGTTTAATGCCCAGGGGACACTAAAACAATTTAAAGAAGGACTGCCTTCAGTTGTAAGTCCAGCACTAGAGATGTACTATCTTGCCTCCCTGGTGTACCTGAAAATCTCACAATCTGCTCAAAGCTCCAAAAGATCTGACTTTGGTATTTCCACATGGTCTTCCTATACTCAGCGCTAGCTCCACCTCTCCAAACAGCAGCCCTTTCACCACTGGCTAGTCCAGTATTGGGCCTGGCCATCTATTCATTGACAACTTGGGGCCTCCCTGAATGGTAAGGATATGCAACCTATGGAGGAATTTGTAGATCTTTGCACCCATGCAATCATTTGACAAGATGGCTGGGGGAGTTTTGCCACCTCGCTAGAAATAATTTATATATTTCTCTTTAGTTGGTGGGAAGAATTGTGACTCGAAAAGGACTAATGGCAAGTGCAATACCCCTGCAGGACACAGGAAGTCAAAGTTTTCCTTATGTAGTTTGTGGAAACACTCCATAAGCTACATTTCTCCTCATAGTTTCTTTACCCAGGTAACTGAGGGGAAAGATATTGATTTAATCTCACTCATCAATTCTAAGGAACTGCACATTTTGCCAAGTGATCCAAATAGCTCTACCACCATACACAGCAATCCCTTTTCTAAGAACAGTGAGCATTTGGAAAAAACAAAAAAAATTTTTTTTTTTTTTTTTTTTTTTGAGACAGTCTCACACTGTCACCCGGACTGGAATGCATGGCACAATCTCGGCTCACCACAACCTCTGCCTCCAGGATTCAAGCAATTCTCCTGCCTCAGCCTCTCAAGTAGCTGGGATTATAGGCGCCTGCCACCACACCCACCTAATTTTCTTATTTTAGTGGAAACAGGGTTTCACACCATGTTGGCCAGGCTGGTCTCAAACTCCTGACCTTGTGACCCACCATCTTGACCTCTCAAAGTGCTTGGATTACAGGTGTGAGCCACCTCGCCTGGCCAATAATTTATTTCTTAAACTCAGTCTTAAAAGAAAAAAAAATGATGCAATGACCCAGGAAATTAAGATCTGCAAAATATTCTAGCTGAGAAACAAAGCATGGCCCTCTCGGGTTGTGTCTGGGGAAGCCATTTCATGGTGCGGTTCAGGGTCTATGAAGACTGAACAAATCATGAGCAAGCCAGGCATGTTCTTTCTGATCAGAACATGGCCAGAGTCCAATACCTTCTTTCTAAAGAATATAGCTGGAGTCCAATGTCTTCACCAACTTACATTTTGATATATGGACATTAAAGCCAAATCTCTCCAATGGCCATACACATGCAGATCTTCAGTAAGGACAAGAGATGCCTGGAAATCTACAACCTATACTTCCTTTATCACAGTGATTTTGTGTATTAGGCACCCACTGGACAGCAACCTACACACATCAGTATCCAGCACTTGCTGAAGGTTATTTGTTATCTGGTAACTAGCAGACTTATTTAGTGATATTTGCTCTAAGTTACAAAAATTAAAATTAATTGCTGTCTTCCTTTTCCATATGGCGAATATCAAATAGTTTTAAGCATGTCAGTCTTCACTATAGAAAGCTTGTTTTGTTCCTACCTCGGCAGCTTGGGTTTCTTGATGCAGCAATGTAAGACCAGTCAAGTCTTCCAAGAAGGAATGTGAAGAATTAAACACCTTGGCTAGGAAGTTAAATCCTTCTCGTTCATATTGATCAAGAACCTGTAAAACATTTACATTTTTTAAAAAGGAGGCTCCAGACTTAAAATGCAAATTAAAAGACTTTCACTTCTAAAAAGCTCTTGTCAAAAATAAAATTAAAATGAGAATTAAATATGGGGATAAAATGCAATCTAGTGGCCAAAAAACTAAAAGTGGCTTAGTATTTATCATCTTTTCCCTTCTTAGAATGACAATAACATTATCTTCCAGTTTGCATATCAATGTTTTCTCAATAAAGTAAGTTTCATGCAAATTCACTAAAAATTCTAGAAGAGTTAGGATTAGTTAGTGGCCCTAAAGTTCACTGGTTAGAAAACAGGTGAAAGAAAAGCCAAGAAAATAAATTTAAAAGGATAAATGGGAAGGGAGGGGCAAAAGGATTTTCTCAAAAAAATGTGACATACCAGCTAGCCGAATATATTTTTTTAAAATAATTTTAAAACGGAAAAATAAATTTCAATAGGTACTTCACAAAAGAGGATATCCGAAGAGCCAATAAACATGAAAATGGGCTCAATAGCATGAGTATTTAGAGATATGAACACTGAAACCACAATGAAACACTACTTTGCACCTATCAAAAAGATTAAAATGACAAAATACCAAGTGCTGGCAAGGATGTGGAACAACCAGGACTCTATGTCCTATGATGCAGCAATTCTACTCTATGTGTATACACACCCAACAAAAATGTGTACATATGTGCACCGGAAGACACAAACAAAAGTGTCCATAGCAGCGCTATTCATGATAGCCCAAAACTAGAAACCACTGAGGTGACCATCAACAGTAGAATGAACAGATGGATTGTGGTATAGTCATGCAATGGAATACTATGTATCAGTGAGAACAAACTACCTTCAAACATAATGTTACACGAAAGGAAGGAGTAGCAGTATGTACTGTATAATTACATTTATATAAAATTAAAATGAAATAGGCAATATGAATGTGTGGTGTTAGAAGAAAAGATAGTGGCTACCCACAGAGAGACTGTAAGGGGCACAAGGGACATTCCAAGGTGCTGGTAATAACTTGTTTATTTATCTAAGCATTGGTTACATAAGGTGTATTTTTTGAGAATTCATTAAGTTGAACACAAGATTTGTGTGGTTTTTTTTTTGGATATATGTTATCCTTCAATAAAAAGTTAAAAAATAAAAGGCCTGTACACTTGAGAGGAGAACAGCATGAGAACAGTAAAGAGTTCTTAGAAACAAACAATGAGTATCACATTTAGGAATTCAGTGATCACAGGGACTGTGAAATGTAGAACGCTGCACCAGAATGCCTCAGAAATTCTCTCAGAACTCACAAGAAATAAAGAGATGAATGCTTTAAAAAGATAGCAGACATTGAAGACATACCTAAGAAATCAACAATGCATAAACAGACCGGAACAGTAATAATACAAGAAATAGAATTTCTCTTTTTAGAAGATGAAAATGTAGGCACCCTTTAATCCAGCAATTCCACTTTTAAGACTTCATACTGATAAAGTTGTACATGGGCACAAAGACTTCCATTGTAAGGAAGCTTACTGAAACACTGTTTGGGCTAGGCACGATGGCTCACACACCTGTAATCCTAGCACTTTGGGTGCCCAAGGCAGGAGGACTGCTTGAGCTTAGGAGTTCAGGAGCAACCTGGGCAACATAGTGAGACCTCAACTCCACAAAAAATTTAAAAATTAGCCAGGCATGGTGGAGTGCACCTGCAATCCCAGCCACTTGGGAAGCTAAAGTGGAAGGATCACCTGAACCCAGGAGGTTGAGGCTGAAATGAGTTATGATCACGCCACTGCACTCCAGCCTGGGTGACAGAGTCTCAAAAAAAAAAAATAATAATAATAATACATATTTTGTATCTATTAAAGGAACGAGGCAGGTCTTATAATACTGACGCAAATTGTTTTCCAAAACATAGCAATATATTTAAAAAGCAATATCCAGACTGTGTATAGATAGTATTTGTGTTCAAAAAGAGTGGAAGGAGGAGACAGGAAGAGGAAGAAATGCATGGATGTACATACTTGTTTATGCATGTATCATCTGTGGAAGAATGCATATACACACAAACTGGCATCAAATAGTAGCCTCTGTAGATTATTTTATACTACTTTAATTTTTAAATCCATGTGCATGTGTTACTTAATATTAAATATTACTCAATATTTATTAAGATTTTTAAAAAATACTTATTAAAAATTAATATTTATTAAAATTTGCCACCAATAATAAATACACCATAATTTAATCAGCTCTCTGTTAAAGGGTAGTGCTTTCTAACTTTTGTTGCTGCAAACAGTTCTGGTTTCTTTTTTTTGTTTTTGGTGACAGTCTCGCTCTGTCACCTAGGCTCGAGTGCAGTGGCACAATCATAGCTTACTGTAGTCTCAACCTCCTGGGTTCAAGTGATCCTCCCACCTGATCACCTTTATTTAATGTTAATAAACAATATTTATTAAAATTAAATATTTAATATTTCTTAAAACCAAATGTTATTTAACATTTATAAAAATTAAACAATTTTAAATATTAATATAAAAATATTAAAATCTTAATTTAGTTGGTTTGTGTTTTTGTTTAGTGCTGAAGCAGAACTCTAAAGCACTGATGAAGAGGTTGGCACTGGAAAGGAGGGGCAGCTCTCCCCCAGGGGCAGGAATGAGGAGGGAAGGATGAGCAAAGCTGTAGCAGTGAAAAGTGAAGGGACCAGGGGACAGGGGGCAGGGGAGCTCCAGGGTCTAGACAGCAGGCAGGAAGTCCTGTGTGACCCAAGAAGGGTTAGACTATGGGGCTTGAGAAGAGTGGCGACCCTGAGGCCCAGCTGTGCAGAGAGCAGAAGAAGAGATGCTGACTGGCACATTTAAACAGTGTAGAACAATCTGATGCCTCTGGTCAGGACAGAAAATAAAAATTTGGGGAGAAAAGAAATTAAGAACCCATCTAAGCTAAGGGACTGGCAGAATAAGGATCAAAAGGTTAAGGTCAGAGAAACTGAGGGTCTGGTGAACACCACTGAAGAGACTGGGAAAGAGTCCTGGCTGGTAAGAAAAGACCTGCAGGCAGCCAGGTGCAGTGTGGCTCACATATGTAATCCCAGCACTTTGGGAGGCCGAGGTGGGCAGATCTCGAGGTCAGGAGATTGAGATCATCCTGGCTGATACGTGAAACCCCGTCTCTACAAAATATACAAAAAATTAGCCGGGCGTGGTGGCGAGTGCCTATAGTCCCAGCTACTCAGGAGGCTGAGGCAGGAGAATGGTGTGAACCCAGGAGGCAGAGGTTGCAGTGAGCCAAGATCACGCTACTGCCCTCCAGCCTGGGCGACAGAGCAAGACTCCGTCTCAAAAAAAAAAAAAAAAAAAGAAAACAAAGAAAAGACCTGTAGGCTGGTGGGATCAGAGAGACTGCAAGTCCTGGAAAGCTGGGGGAGTGGAGGACCATTATGTGCGTACAGTCAAGCCCAGGCTGATTAGCCACGGGAAATTAATTTGACAACCTAACACCTGAAAAAAAAATGTCATTTAATAAATAACTCAATCCCTCAGTAATAACAAGATTCCTTATAAACCAGAATATTACATCAGGAAAAATGTGCACTGAAATTAAATGATCTTTTTTGAAATGGTAAGTACTACGTATTTAGTGATTAAAAAAAAAAAAATTGAAAGTTGTGGCAACCCCGCATTGAGCAAAGTAATCAATACCATTTTTCCAACAGCATGTGCTCTCTTCGCATCTCTCTGTCACATTTTGGTAATTCTCACAATATTTCAAACTTTTTCATTATTATTATATCTGTTGTGGTGATCTGTGATCAGTGACCTCTGGTGTTACTATTGTAACTGTTTTGGGGCACCACAAACTGTACCTATATAAGATGGTGACCTTAGTAGATAAATGTTGTATGTGTTCTGACCAATTCACCAACTGGTCATTCCTCCATCTCTCTCCCTCTCCTCTGGCCTATTTCCTGAGACAAAACAATGCTGAAAGCAGGCCAATTACAATGGCCTCAAAGTGTCCAAGTGAAAGGAAGAGTCACACATTTCTCACTTTAAATCAAGAGCTAGAAATGGGCCAGGCACGGTGGCTCATGCCTATTTGTAATCCCAGCACTTTGGAAGGCCGAGGTGGGTGGATCACTTGAGGTCAGAAGTTCAAGACCAGCCTGGCCAACATGGTGAAAACCCCGACTCTACTAAAAATACAAAAATTAGCTGGGCGTTTTGGTGCACGCCTGCAATCCCAGCTACTTGGGAGGCTGAGGCAAGAGAATCGCTTAAACCCAGGAGGCAGAGGTTGCAATGAGCTGAGATTGCGCCACTGTACTCCAGCCTGGGCAACGGAGTGAGACTCTGTCTCCAAAAAAAAAAAAAAAAAGCTAGGAATGATTAAGCATAGTGAGGAATGCATGTCAAAAGCTGAGACATACTAAAAAAAAAAAAAAAAAAGCTACACCTCTTGCACCAAACAGCCAAGTTGTTAATGCACAGAGAAAGTTCTAGAAGGAAATTAGAAGTGCTACTCCAATGAACACACAAAAATAAGAAAGTGAAAGAGCTACAGAGAAAGTTTTAGTGGTCTAGAAGATCAAACCAGCCACAATATCCCCTTAAGCCAAAGCCTAATCCAGAGTAAAACTCAAAGTCTCTTTACTTCTATGAAGGCTGAGAGAGGTAAGGAGGCTACAGAAGCATAACTGGAAGCTAGCAGAGGTTGGCTAATGAGGTTTAAGGAAAGAAGGTGCCTCCATAACATAAAAGTGAGAGGTGAAGCGGTAAGTACTGATGTAGAAGCTGCAACACGTTATTATGAGATCTAGCTCAGAAAACAGATGTGGCTGATCAACAGATTTTTAACATAGATGAAACCACCTTCTAGTGGAAGAAGATGCCATCTGGGACTTTCGTAACTACAGAAGAGAAGTCAATGCCTGGCTTTAAAGCTTCAAAAAATAGGCTGACTCTCTTGGTCAAGGCCAAAGCAGCTGGT